CGCCACCGCCGCCGCCGCCGCCGCCGCCACCACGACCGGGACCACCAAATCCTCCGACCTTACCCTGACCACCATCGGCGTTTCCATAACCGCCATAGTCATCAGCATAAAAATCATCGAAGTTATGCGGATCATAAGGATTGTTCACACCCTTTAGCGGTGACTGGAAAATAAAAAGTAGACGTTATATTTCGCTTTCTCAAAGATTGCTTTCCTATGTATATATTGTACATGTATTATAGAGCTAACTTTAATTCATTCAACAATGTTAAATTTATAATGTCAAATTATGCCTAATTTGAGCCATTTGTTATTATTTTTATAGGTCGTCACTATTCTTACATTGTTAAATATCAAAGGAACAAGTAACACAAACCCTTAAATTAAATGACATTTTGTTGTTTTTAATTTCATGTGAATCAAAATATAAATCAATCCATTTATATCATCCAGTAATTAGATTTAAAGTAAACAATATTAATGTACGCACTTAATAAATAAAATAAATTTTCAATTCAAATTTAATACAGTTTCTCAAAGTAAATTGTTTTAAAGTTAAGTTAATGATATTCTAAGTAGGAGCAGAGGTGATCCAAAATGTACAAGAAATGATTAAAAATAACTCAAATTAAGTATAATTTGATATTATGAATTTAACTGTACTCAATATATCATTATTTTAACTAAAACAACAGAATTAAACAATTTAATCTTTAAAAAAAATATATTAAAAATTTGATTGAATTTCAGTTTTTTTATTATTTATTAAGTGCATATGTTAACATAAACGTTAATATAAATATTTATTTTGAAAGTAATTACAGAAATGGGTTAATTAACATTTTAATATATATATTCTCGAAATCTAGTAACTGGATAATCAGTGAAGTTTAACTTAAAAAAAAAAAAAAAAAGTTTGAGCACTATAAAATACTGATAACACTGATATTTGCATGCTCATTCATTGAGTTTATTCACTAAAATAAAGTTAGATTACATAATACAGATTAAGTAAGGTTAGATCTCACATTTCATTCACTGATTACCAGTGGCATATTTGGCACTGATAACAGTGATTATTTACTGATTCAGATTTAGAAAGTAGAAATTAAAAATGACAAAAAAATGTTATTTAACACAAAGGATTGCGTCTTTGATATTTAATAACGAAAAAAGAGAGAAACTATAGATGTATACTTCTACAAAAACTGTAATAATATTCAAACAATATTCAAATGATGTAAGAAACAAATGTCTTTTTCGTGTCCAACAAAAAGAATCGACATTTGTTAGATCGAGATGCAACGGCTATTGAAAATTTATTTAAAAAGTCAAGTATCTCATAGTATACTCACAGTCTTAATGGTGGCGATCAATTCACGTATACATTCGATGCACGTCGTGGGTTTCCCGCAGATGCTGATGAGACGATCCGTGCTGCGGGGACAGGTGTTCGAATAGATCTTGATCCTGGCTCCAGTTTTCTGAAACACAAAAGTTCGAGTACGTTAGACAAAATCCACAACTCAGAATCCAGGAAACTTTCCGCGTTTACATTGAAAAGAAGACTGACGCAACTACATTCGTTACAGTTGACAAGTTAAAGATATGAATGACGATTTCTCTCATTTTTCAAGTTGGAATGTGTGACTCCGCAAATAAAAATATATCACGTCCCTAAAAATGTCGAGAGATCTCACATTTTCGTCTTCTACATTCGACTAATAATCGCTGACGTAACGAAGTAACTCAGCTCTCCTGCGTGTTCAATGGTTCTTTTTAATTACTCTGACAATCGAACATGAGTCATGATCAGGGTGTGATACTCCCTCTGCTTCCTCGACAGCTCTCACCCACCCCTGATTAACGACTTAACGACGTTCAAATGCTTTCGTACCCGCTTCACTAATCTGCGCCCCGCTCTTTGCTACGAGGTTTCTAAGTAATACCTCGAGACGACAATGTTCAGATCGCGTGCTGATAGTCGTTTAACAGTCTACCTGTACTTTCCGTGATCTCGATCACGCCACATCGAAACGGCTGAACGCAAACGTGCAACTATTTGGTGGCACTTAAATTTTTCTTAAGCTAATTTGACCTGTCGTTTGCGTCATAAAATAACTCGTAACTTTCGATGATAACAGATGAGATTTACAGTTGCAGGTAAAATGAAATAATATAATTCTGCGCATTGGATTGAGGGAGGAAGGATGATGAACTGACAGACAGTGATGCATATACGCGCAGAGATAGCTTTGATGCGAGTGATGCAAAAACGAAAAATTGCCGATAACATCGACAGCCGTGTGCTCAAACGCGAAATATCCAAACCAGATAACAATCTAGTACGCTCATGTATACTACGTATACACGCGTGTTGCATCCGGTGGTATTGTGCGGAGAAATCGCGCCGTTTAATTACGTAGATCAAAGCAACCCACTCCCTAAAATCCCGCTAGCCTCGTGCAAATCCATTCAAACGTTTCTGATGCAGACAGTCCAGCGATATTGAGGCTCACATGTATCTGGTACCTGGATACAGCGTTAATCCCAAAGTGATAGAATCGAGAAAAGTACATGAAGACAGAAAGACGAAAGAAAGGGATAAAACGTAAATGTAATTTATATTATACTCGGAATGTTTAATCGACTCAGTTTCACGGCAAGAAATAGCACTATTTTTTTTTAGAGAGAATAAAGGAAATAGCGCGCGTATCGCATTGTTGCTTCTACATTCTGCTCCAACATAACAAAAAAAAAAAAAAAACAACCAATGCTGTTCGATCACCAGCGAATAAATGGCGAACGGCTATATTGCTCGCGTAGATATCTATATAATTAGTCAATGGAATTCATAAGCGGAGAATAAGCAGAGGAATAAAAGCTCGGTCGCGTTGTATAACCATCCGTTGTATAGCCATCCGAGCGATTTGAATGCTACGATTTGAAAGAAAAATCGATGAGAATTGCCATTGCAGATTGGTATTTACATGACATGCGCCGGGGGCGGAAAAAGCCAAATGTGATTTTAATCGAATTAATTAATTCTACTGATCACGTCCACGAATCAACAGGATTAATCTCGACGCGACAGAAACGAGAATGGGCGCGAATTCTTGTATGCAACAACGATTTTGGATTGACAAGGATTGTTCTTACAGCCCAGCTGTAATTATTTCTGATATTTGAATCATTTTCACCGGAAGTTAACGAGTGTATCGTTGATATATAAAACTTTCATTCGAATTAATATTCTATTCTAAATTAATTTTCTAAAAAAGAAACAAGTGTATTAGTTATATTAGGTATGGGAAAAAGTTCGTGGCGTTTTTCCCATTAGATGGCATTAAAAAAAACGCCACGAACTTTTTCCCATACCTAATATATTCTGCACCGTGAAAGTAAAAACCATGAGAAATGGGCTCTTGATAATTAATCGAAGAGATGAGATAAAAGACAAAGATAAAAGCCATTCGCTGAAGCGCTTTTTGACTCGCGTTTTTTGCGGAGGACAAGGTGCCTCGAGAGAGAGAGAGAGGCGGATTATCGAAAGAAATTTCCGCTTCTCCGCCTGAACTTACCTCTGACATTCGATATCGGTAAACTTGAAAAGAACAATGTAAATCGACCGTTCTTTGAAGAAACCAATGTGCCATAAATAGCACAGTATAAAATAGTAGAAGTAGTAGGAGTATGCGCTGTGTGTTAGATTTCGCGAGGAAGTGAGATTATTTCGGTCGAAACATCGAGCGATATCACAATGCATTATGTACACCATATAAAGCTGCCTCCCACGGAGGCACTTTTGATCGTTCTACCGACACACAGCTATATGGATTTTCAATTTTCCAGAAAGTTTCCGAACTTCCGAAACTTGTCGCGATCGCGGAGATTTCTGTCCTCCCCCTTCGAGTGAACATTTTCTTGAATATTCAAGAGTCGAGGAAGTTAATTAATTGTCCCAAGTTTCAAGGTCGTAACTTGACATAATTATGCCAACTTATGTACGCGCAGCGTAAGAATTTCTTCTCGAAAGAATATTATACCTTACAGGTATAATATTCTTAATAAAACTCTCTCTAAAACTATAATAAGTTTTATATTTATTAAAATAATCCGTTAAAGGGCTCAGAGCAAGAAGCAAAATACTTCGTTATTGTTGTAAATTATAAAAACTAATTATATTTAACTAAAATACAGACGTTTCAACCTTACATCAGGTCATTTTCAATGTTAAAATTACCATCTATATTAAAACAATGACATAAAAATTCTAGAAAAGTCTAACGCATAACATATAAAAACCTCAATACTTTAGAAACAACGTGTCCGATCAATCTTGATATGGCAAGAAGTTATAGAATCTCTTACATCTGTCCATGAGTCAGTTCAGGAATGAATCTCATATTGATATAGTATATGTATATTCGCAATAATAATTTTCCATGGTATATGATTATTGAATCTCTTATTAAACGCCTAAAGATACACTTGTCATAAAATCGTGATGAAGTATTGCTATAAAGTAATGTGTAAAATAATAATTAAAACTAATGAGAATTTACGCAAATTAAAATGCTGCAAGATTCGTATCACACTTATATTACTATTAACAAAGATGATCAGAATTACAGCGCATAATAGTATATAAAACAAACAGTGTTTTATACACATTTATATTTATATATCATTCGCGACTATGTTATTTCTGAGAGAGTCGTTATTAAACATAAAGACATTGGTATTAGAAGATTAAAGTGGCTGTAACGTGCTTATGGTAATTCGGCGCAAACATCCAGAGGACTTCAAAGTCCTTGCACGGGGAGGATAACCATACGAGAGCGATTTCATGAGAATGAACCGCATTGCGCCACCAAATTCGTGTTTGCTTAATAGTTCTCCGTTGCAACAGCATCCGTAGCACAAGTTTACAAACTTCAACGGTATTACTGACGGCGTCATGTACTAATCTAAACGTAAATCGTACTATTCAATTCGATGCGACGAAGAAGTTCCAGTCCCCGCAGCTAGTTCCGGATGATTTTACGTAAGGGTCAAAGAATATAGATATATCGATTGTACAAATGTTAAATAAGTCGAAGATGTTATTATTAACGCATGACGATATTTGCCTTTCAATAGAGCATTTTTAATGATAAAAGAATTTCGAACGGCGTATTTCATTTCAGTTATGCTGATGATGTTGGTCGGATACGAATTTAGTCGCATGGAACAAGACATTCTGTATTTCTTAACTTTGACTTTTATTTTGTTTCTCGAAGAATTTTCATCAGTTGTCAATCGATTATCTTAGTGAAGTGCCTGTGTATTCAAAGGTGAGTTAAAAATAACACATTATAATAAAATAATTCAATTTCTAAAACAGCGAGAAAGACGTTCAAATGGATGGTTTAAGGTTTTCTACTTTGTCAGGCTGTTTATGTAATTTTTAGAAATTTTTTTTTTTTTTGGAAAAGTGAGTAAATATTTTTTTAAATTACTTGTATTTTTATTTATTATTGTTTTAAGATAGATTTGTTATTTTTTTTTTATATATATAAAAAATATAAATAATTAACAAATCAGTTTGATTTCTGCGCATCGTGTGGACGATTCATCTATGCAATCATGATTCCGGATCTTTCAATTAAAATTAAAAAACAAAACATTATTTTAATTAGAACACTTGCGGCTGTTATCAGAACTAGAATTATATCTTAACAACTTAATTTTTTCTATTTTTTCAGAGTTCAAGAAAATAGAAAATAAAAATCAAACTTTTTTTATAAACAAGTGCTATTTATTTAATGAGCGAAATAAATAATTTTAATTTCACTTCACTGAGAGGTCCACTCAGAGATCCGGAATTATCGTAGATGTGTACGATGTAGAAATCAAGTAGATCTATTATTCATAAAATATTCTTTTATTAAAAAAATAGCAAATCTCTCCAACTTGAACAATAGCAAATAAAAAAAGAGGACAAAAGTAATTAAACAAAAATATTAATTTTTTCAAAAAATATTCCTAAAAACTGGCTGGAAAAACGTAACAAAGCATTATAGAAAATTCTGTTAATATCTCAAAAGAATTACATTTTTACAAATAAATAATAAAATTTTATAAGCATAAATTTAAGACAATATTTTCAGATTATTTCCATCTACACTGCGTAACTCTTTCTGCAAATCATCGCTAGGGGACGGCTAGCTACACTTAATGCATTTTCATGAGTTCGTAGTTCACGGAGACAACACGAAAGTCGTACGCATTCATGACACACCGTTCGTGAAGAAAGACAGCTATTCACTTTACGGCTTCAATTCATCACTGATTTAAATTGTGCAGTGACTTCCAAGTGATATTAACGGAAAGAAACGTGTATTCCTCGTTAAAACATATAATCGCAAATTGCCTTTCAACATATCTACTACTTTCGAATCAGGTGAGAAACTAACATAAAATGCCACATAAATCCCATGACATGTAAATGTCATAAATTCGTCGGGATAAGCGAAAACAATGTTCGCATTTTACAAAAAGTTAAAGTACAATAGACCTTCAAAGCCCTCCGGATTATTACGTCAAAAATTCTTTCTATATGCCGATACACATTTCGATCAATAAATTAAAATTTATATTCTACATACCGGGCTGACTGATGAATGTAGCGCCAATCGATAATAATTGAAAATTTCACATCGCGTGCGGAAATTTCTCAACGCTGCATTCACATACGCGAATTTAAATAAGTAATAATCTATTAAATATATTAATAACGCCGAAATACGCGCTGTAGATTCTATGTTAGTCGAAATTGGACGAAGATATAAGGGATCATAAAATAAAATAAATAAGATATACCGCTCGCGATATTACACGCGTGCGCGCACACGGCGTTTGTCGGAAATGCTGAGAAAAATAAGGAGAAAGCGCGAAAATTCACCGTATGAAACGAGAAACCGTGTCGCGACGTGAAATGCGACAGGTACGAGACTAGCTTTCGATAGCCGCGACGGAAACGAAAGGAAGGCAGTGGTCAGAGCATTTTTCTGAATACATGAGATATCGGGAATGCGACAAAATGCGACAAAATACACCGTTGTCGTCATTGCGGTGTCGTGTTGCTTCGTTTATACCAGCTGTTTTCCCTTTCAAAGTGTTCCTCTGCGCGACCGATCTGCGACCGAGATCGAGTCAAAATAGACCGACACATACGTGCGTCGTCCGAAGGTGACACGAAAACAAATCTTCGGGAGTTTTCCACAAAGCGATCTCGCTGTAACGTACAGAGGCAGAGAAACGTAGTCAATAAGATAATCACAAGTCATCGCTCGTACGTGATACCTCGCATATTTGGTCCTTGCACTTCTTCACAGAAAAGTTCACAAAATTGTTTTTTCTTCAGTGTATTACTATAATGGACGTCTACACGATCGACGAAGTTGCCAGTCACAATAATGCCAAGGATCTATGGATCGTGATACACGGTGGAGTCTATAATATCACCAAGTTCTACAAGGAACATCCTGGCGGCGAGGAAGTGCTGCTGAAATTAGCGGGGCAAGATGCGACAGAATGTTTTGAGGCCATCGGTCATAGTAATGAGGCGATTATTTTACGTCAGAATTTCAAAATTGGAGAGATAGGGAAGAGTGTAAGCTTCGATAATAAAATAAAAACGACAAATGCAGGTTTGTTCTTTTCCTCGGTCGCTTGAATTGTAATGTGATTTAATACTGTTCGGATTCATTGCTTACAAATTTAACAATACGCTATAAACAAAGTCTCGTATACAGACGAGTTTACATTCGCAGTGTTTACGTCATTGACAAATGTAGATTTACGTACATAAGTATATCATTTTATATACATTTCAGTATTTTTCTTCAATTTCTAACAGCTATATTTTAAGTTTCCGCTATTCATAATCGATTCTTTTATTTAAGATCTTCTTGAGTCGATCTTAACCCAATAATTATCCGTTTTGTTTTAAGTAAACAATCATGAAATTTTTATATTTCAATTAAAATCATTATTATTAATAATTTATTATTGTTTTCCGATTTATTAATTATATTCGAGAACATTATAGATTTAATCATAATTTTCTAAAAAAAAAAAATAAGTAGAAACCAAATATTAAACAAATAAAATAGAAATTTATTATAACAATATTTTAAAAAGATAAAGATTTTAATTGATACAGCACTTTTTATTGCGGTTTTCGATGGAATTACACATTTTTGTAAAGAATAATTATTAAAAATGAAAGAAAATATATGTATGTCAAATAATATCCATTATACAAGACAATATTTTATAACATTTTTCAATTTTCTGACCGCTGAAAATATCCTAAGTGATTATTTTCGAATTAAGATGTCATAAACTAATCACCGTTTCATTATAAAACATTACTTAAGACTTTTGAAATAAGAACCGACATATAAAAATCTTAAAGTATTCTATCATATTTATGTTACGTCAATGAATAATGGAACAATAATTGTTACTGACACACTCACATTATACTCATCCTATGCTCTTAGGCCCAGTTCTATCAATGTAAGATAAATTTGATTTCAGTTTACTTACTGTTTATCTTTATCTAATTCCTAGGATTACAAGAAGATAAACAATAGATTGAATCAAAATTAAAGTTAATCTTACATTGATGGAATTGGGTCTTGATAGAAGAATCGTATATCTTAATCCTGTTGCTTTTAGAAGAATCATATATCATAGTCGTAAATCATGTACTTTTCAATGTCACTAAGATCTTTACAAATTATTTTTTTTATTTGTAGAAATAAAAGAACCAGCGGAGGAAGATTGGCAATATCAAGAACCAGACAAGGAACAAACGACGTTCTGGTCCTCGACATTCATGTGGTTCTCTTTCATAATTTATGCTATAATAATTTATTATTGGATCAGAAAACTAGGATTTATGAGCGCAATTTTTTAATTTTAACATAATGCTAAAATATGCAAAATGCAATGTATAATCCATTCGAAGCTATTAAGTTATTGTTCTCGCATAATTATTTTAATGGGTACACATTTACTTCAAAATTTGTTATTTAATACTTACAAGAGGAATAAGAATATATATATATATATACTAAGTAGATATGTTTTGGCTTGATTCCTTTTAATTTTGATTTTAATTAATACTACGCTTTTATTGTTTTGCATTTATCATGTATAATTTTGTACACTGTAATACAACTTGTAATGAAACGCTCATTAGTCAAAGCAAAAAAATATTCGAAAGACAAATTATTCAGTAGGTCTTACGTAACTTAGTAAGTTTTCTTGTTTTAATATTTTATTTTGGTACGTATTTTTATGCGTGCAATATATTTGAACTTTATTCCAACGTGCGTCGAGAGAAAATATCAGCAAGTTCATTTAAAATGCTCGTCCAAAATGGATCATCGTTCACGAATATAACTTGAAAAATCGATATGGAAAAGCTATCATCAAGCATCAAATAATCGAAATTATGAAACGGCTGAGCGATAGTCTTCATGTATAATAAACGTATTATCTGATATATATATGTATTATATAACATTCGCTATTATTGCTTCATTATTAAAGAAAATTATATTAAATGAAAAATATCTGATCGTACAAGCGGCAACATACATTATGATATACATTATATATATAATTGTGTGTGTGTGTGTGTGTGTGTGTGTGTGTGTGTGTGTGTGTGTGTGTGTGTGTGTGTGTGTGTGTATTATAATATATATGAAATTCTGAAATACATAGTGAAATTTCTGTACCAAAAGAAGCAATTTTTGCTCTGACCGGTTTTGAGTTGTTATAACAATTGATTTTTAGTTGTTATGATAATTGATAGTTATTATGAAATACATGAAGAAAACAGCGCGATCATTCATTAACTATAAATTACTCTTATTTGAATATTATATAAATGCAATTTTATACATATTTACATATAATTTACAAATAAGAACAAATATATATATGTATGTACGTAAAAAATACAAACACACACACACACAAGTTTCTTTTTTTTATGTGTAAATGTTCGATGCTGTACAAAAATGCAATCAAGTAGCTCGACTATCATGCTTATCTTTTTGCGATTTACGTAGTGTCATCATGACTAGATGCTTTTGAATATGAATCGGATATCATGCCCGCATAATACGTGAGTTTACAAACAGGAACAGTATCTAGTAATTTTGTACAAAAACATTGCTATTATTCTCATTGCGTACTTTCGGCTTAAACAAAATTTTCGGCTTAAACAAAAGATTTCGCGCCGTAATTAGATCATTTGAGAAAATTCAAAGGCAAAAAATTTAATTACGCAGATACGTATCGCGCATAATATGTTTATTAATTAATTAACTAAGTTAACAAATATTACAAAATGAAGATATTTTTATTCGTCATTTTTATCTAATAAGATAAAATTTGCTCCAATAAACGGAAAATATTTGTCAGAATTCCTTGCAGTTCGAAAGCTACATAGTGGATAAAGAGACTACTTTTCTTGGAACAAGTGAAAAGCATGTTTATTATGTTTCTAGATATTCTATACATTATAACTGACTTATTGTATGTTACAACTGACAAATTTGAATCAGCAGAATTGTCTTATCATCAGTTCAGCGATTTTCAATACTTCGTGAAAGCCTCAGAAATATATGAAAATCGTGTGTATATATTTCGCAGACCTGTTTTGACTAACAAAAATGCTCTGAGCGATCAACGACTATCCGTAATTGCAATATTCTAATATTACAAATTTCTTGAATTAAGACTTCAGTTCATAGCAATCGAGAATTTGTAGTCAGCCTTTGTGAAAACAGTATATCAGGTGTTTTTCATATGATGACATAAGTCAACACAAGTGCTATTCTATCTTTGTTACTCTCTGAATATCAAGAAGGATAGAATGATGTTTGTGTCGACTTGTGTCACTAAATGAGAAGCACTCATTGTTGTAGATTCACAGCTTTCCATACAAGTCAGCCAATTGAATCCGCCACCTAGACATTACCCATCTAACACGTTAGAGGTTTGCTGTAAAAGCAGCGGTTGGCAACGTTGCGACTGGCCTTCAGATAACACGAGGAAAGCTTATGCGGTGGGGTCCAGACAACGAGAGAAACGAGAAAGAGGGGATCATAGCACTGTACGAACGACAGACTGTATTCCGTAGTATTCACGCGAGTGCAGTTCCGAGGAGAGGTTCTCGCAAATCTTATCAGCGGAGATTCGCATCTGCGACTCATTTGTACCATTGCCTTGCATTTCTCTCCGGATCTGTCTCCTTCCGTCAAAGAAGTCGACGCCTTCGCAACACAACCTTCGAAGGTGCGAAAGTGCGAGGTATGTGAGGCCCAGCGAACGTCAAACCTTCGTCAATTGTCTCAGACGAGCTTTTCCATGCAAAGACTCGATGAGAGCTATTTGTTTCGAAAAAAAACAATAGCCATATCGATCCGACGCACTTCTCAAATCTCATTCATTCGACAGCGAAGATATCTTCGATGATATCTATTCTTGCGAATCATCATCTTGAATCGATATTTCCATCGAGTGTACTCGTTCAACTGCCTGCGATCGGATAAAGTTTGATTATTAGTAAGGGTTGAATCCATGATCCTTCAAAGGCATATATTGACTTCTCTAAATAGCAAACGGAAAGCGAGAGACGTAGTTGCCACTTCTCTCAAATAGAACTTTCACCTAACGAAATATCCTCCGTTTGAGAACGTTTCCGCCGTCTGTGCGTCTTTCCGCGCATTGCATTCGAGAAATTATGCGACCTATGCAAATTTCGAGGAACCTATTAAACTAATGGCCTTTTCACTTTTACGAGGGTCGTGTTGTTTGGCTCCGTAGGAATGTTGTTTGTCGAAATCACATAGTGATAGTACTATGACATCACCCTATTTAAGCGAATGATTAGATAACGAAACTGCAGGAATATATTATTATATTTATTGTGTCATTAATATTGTTAGGTGTAATGATCGCATGACATGGATGTTTGCTACGTACATCTGAAGTGATTTCACAAGTCATTTGAAAATGTCATTATCTCACTCGAGTATATAATAAATATATCTCAAAAAACAATTTTACAGCGTAATCGAACTTTGATAGTAATCAAGTGAATACTTGTTATGTAATCTCACTCTGCTGACCTCGTCATGCATTATATTGAACTACTCGTGGCACGTTGAAACGCCGTGATGATCCTAACGCGTACATGACGTCGTATTTCTAAATTTGTTTATAACGTTTCTCTCAAAACTTATTGACCCGCTATATAATTAGCCTTTCTAGAACTAAGCGTTATCTAGAACTAAGTCGGTCAAATACATAGATTACGTGGATTCTATCACGATTCTAGTCTTACAAAACATTTAAAAGGATAAGATAGATAGATTATACCTTATGACGGTCATCAAACTTATTCTTGCGCGAGAGGAAAAAACATTTTACTTATGTAATGTCGAAGCTACGACGAAAACAATTTTAATAAGTTCTCTTTTCTTTTAGATCGACTGTACAAAGAAGAAAAAGCGAAAGATTGTCGAGACATGGCAGAAATGAAAGTATTCACGCGGAGCGAGATCAGAAAAAACAACGATAAGGACAAAGTCCTTTTCATCTTGCACGACAAAGTATACAACGTCCACAGCTTTCTCAATGAGCATCCGGGTGGAGAGGAGATTCTATTGGAACACAAAGGCATAGACGCTTCCGAAGACTTCGACGACGTCGGGCATTCGAAAGACGCGATGGAACTGATGAAGACGTACCAGGTCGGTGTAATCGCTGATTCGGAAAGGGTGAACAAACTGCCGAAAAAAGGCTGGACATCGGGATACGCGAAGGAATTGGAAAAGAACGTTCAAGGATCCAGCTTGTCTTTTTATCTAATCATAGGTGGAATCGCGCTCGTAGCGGTCCTCTTTTTTTACGTGTATTAATCGATCCGCTGAAATTAATCCGGAAAAATGCTGTGAATGTGACAGTGTGACATGTGATAGAGAAAGGTACTAGAACGAAAAATATTCTTGTATGTCTTTAATGCTTCTGTGTCCCCAAGAGCGTACAATAATTAACTTCTTCGAAAGAAGTTTTATTTGATATATATATATATACATCGAATTGTCGTTACATATGAGCATTATATATTAATGTTTCGTCAATGTTATATTGTCAATAAATAAAAAGTTATTAATTTCATCGGAATGCGTGTGTTAATTCTATTGAAATGATTTTTATATATATTTTATATAATATATAAAATTAAGATTAATCGCTAATATTATATTTAGAAACATTAATTTTGAAGCAGTCAGCGATTTTTAAATGAAATTAGAGCATGTTTCCGTGGATTAACTTTAATCGTTAAATCAAGCGATTTTATTTACGAGTCACAAAACAAGTTTTAACTGGTTTTATCTATGATGTTATTCTGCCTATGTGTGTAAGTTGCAAATTGTTTTAATTCAAAGCAGCCTGCGTTGTGTACGCGAATCTGACAAATTAATTTGGTTTTAATTAAAACCATTGGTAATGTCATCAATGTTTTAAAAAATTAAGAATCAATTATATTGAAATAAATATCATTTATTTAATTTTAAATAAATTATAAAATCATAAGCCGAATGATTTCAAAATTATTAAAAAATGTACAATATATATTAGTTTAATATATATTAGTTTAACAATTTAAATTTTATTTAAATATCATAATAACAAATTTGATAATAACAAAATTATTAAATAAAAAAACGGAACAGATTATTGCAGCTGCGTATTAAAAGAATGTTTAAACGAATGATACTTGAATTATGTTTACTAATTCGATAAATTGTTTTTAATAACGTGTATATCTATAATAAATTTGTTTAAAAAAATTTTTATCTCAAGCTTTCAATCTATATTGCTTTTATAATCTTT